TTGCAACCTGCGACCTGACGTGAACTGGAGACTCCACACTTTAGGGTTTAGGGTTTACAAACAGGAAAATCTTCCCATCTCGGGTAGCCATGATCTGGGTCGCCGTGCGTTTCCGGACTTCGTGCTAAATCCTAGGCCCTCAACACAGTTCAGAGACTACAATAGTTGCTGCGTGGCTCTCTCAATCGATGTTGCCCGGTTTACCGATTGGGTTGGATTTCCGGATCAGGGCAGGGTTTGCGATGTAGGGTTGGGGTGGCTTGGGACGGAGATCTGACAACCCCCGAACCCTGAAAAATCCCTGGAGTCCGGAACTCCCAAGAAAAAACGCGTTCATGGGGCAACCTGGTTCCCCTCTGCGAGCATCCTCCGAAGACGACGGATGTTAGCCGAACTGACCTCGCCGGGCTCGATCGGTTTTTCTTCAGGACCTGACAATACCATAAGACATTCACAGGGATCAAGTTGAAGAGTAACTGTGTTAAAGTCGTGCAAACCGCCCGCCCACCCACCCAGCCACCCACCTGCCTACCTATCCATCTGTCTGTCTATGAGTCACCGAGGATCAGCCGGATTTCGGGTTTCATTCGTTCTTGTCTTGGATCTTGGGATGCATCGGAAAGTAGACGGAAGGAGGGGTCTTGTTGAGAGATTCTAAAGGAAGTCTAGGTCGACTGCAAGCCCTCAAACCCCAGACATAAGACATACAGTTAGGCTGGATTCATCTTTGAATTGAACGGATCGTTCTGTATGTGTTTTTGTTGCATGGCTTGGTGCTACGAGTTTCTTTGAAAGGCTTCGGGAGTGATGTCGAGAGGCTTAGAGGTTCACTTGCAAGCCAGCTGCTGCAAGGCTTTAGAATTCCAGATACAGGTTCTAGGGTGTGCAGTTCGGGATTTAGGGCTGGATTTGGATGCCTCGTTGTCGGATGAATGCAGGGTCCAGAGACAGGTTCGTGATGTGCGGCTCTCACGTTCTGGTTTACAGACAGAGACATCCAGAACCCAGATGTAACGTTTAGAGCCTTTGTTCAAGCATTCTTCCACCGGCGTAACCCGCGGTACCGCACTGCCTCAGTTACTACTGCGAGAGTTACAGGAGTTATCATTGGCATGATCCTTACGGTTGCCAGTAGGATTCCAAAGCTGATTGACTGAGCCAGTGCACGACGAACTAGGCGAGCCCGGTGAACCTAGGCAGCTTGCCTTGCCCAGTGTGCAAAGTGTGTGTGTGCCCCCGACTCCTTTCTTAACGCCTTGTAAGGACCCTAAACCCTAAGCCCTAAACCCTCAACCCTCAAGTTGCTAGAATCACACTCCACAGCCATTTTCAAAGGCCCTAGAAGAGCGTACGCAAACCCCCCGAGAAAGAGCCAGGAAGGACCTCTAATCGTTTCTACACCGTGGTCTGCGAGCCTTGCAGTTTTGCGGACGTTTTTAGAGCCGAGGCTTTAGGCAAAAATAAATGTTTAGGGTCGTTGTAGCGAGTATCTCGCCCAAAACTTGGCACGCCAGCTGCCCCAATTCAAACAGATCCTTTAGTCAGTAGTCGCTCCTACCCTGCGGCAAGAGTAAGTTGCAAGAGTAATCACTTGATAGAAGCAGCGCCTGAGTTGCAGACGCGAGGGCAAAATGGGCTTGCAAGCCATAAGCCGTCGGGAATCGGGAGGCGTAAACCTCTAAAGCCTCAGCCCTAATTAAATTAGGGTTTAGGGTTTACCTCTAAAGACTAACCCTAAACCTCAAAGACTTAGGGCTTGTAGGGTTTAGAGGTTTAGGGTTTAGGGTTTTAAACCTTCACCCAAAAGCAAAGCCAAACTCACAAGCAGCGATCTCGTCTTGCTCTCACATGGTTGAGTTCTCCGTCTTCCCTGCGAAACTCCTTGTAACGCTGTCCCCCTATACTCCCTATGGAATAATCGTGTAGGATTTAGGCTACAACATGTCCCAAAAGGCTATTCTATCTGTCAGGGTAGCTGTAGTATCACCTGGGCGGATCGGTCGTTTGGGCTAAGGGACTTCATGCCTCTTTGCCATAAACCCTGAAGCTTTCAGGGTTCGAGGCTTAAAGGCTTGCCAGTAAAACTGACTGCGGAAGCCCCAAACCTTAAGGGACTTACGTGGGTTTCTCCGATGTGTTCCAGATTTACGGTGTCCCTGTTATTTCCTCGCTATCTAGCGTACTAGACAACAGAGTGCTGGATTTAGGGGCTTTGCGTTTGAACTGTAAATTCTACTATCGGCTGTAGAAGCGGCGTTCACAGGGTCCTGGGCATGCGGGATATACATTAGGGGTTCTGCAAGTGCGATCATAGCCAGCATTATTGACTGTAGATAAGTTTGCTACAACTGGTGTCGCGAATCAAGGAACTTGGACACTTTTCGGTTGCTTTGGAGGGGCTTCTTTTCAGAGGTCGGGCTGCAAGGGCGGTTCTGTCGAGGTTGGTCAAGAACTCTTCGCCCTGGAAAGCCAAGCCTTAGGGTTTAGGGTTTTTACTCCAGAAGCCGACATAAGCCCTTCGATTCTTGCTTGGATGCCGGCGCGGTTCTCTCAAAGATGGGGTTTAGTTGAGACGCCCCCAAGCCCCAAGACGTAAGCCGTCAACCCCAAGCCACACGGGTCCACCTTTCCTTTCCCCCGGCTCATGCCATACTCACGCCCAACTTAGAACACCTCATCCTTCCTGTGCAAGGGCTTCCAAAGTTTGTTACCCGAGCTAGCAATGATCAACAGACTGGGGCCTCGGCCCCTTAACAGCCCCGTCACTGCGGGCATCATCGTCGCTTAGGCAACACATAGCTGTCCAGACACCCGAGAAGCATGCCAGCCCACACACGCACACACACACACACAAACACAACCCAACCCCTCGCTCACAACTTCAGCCCAGAATTCCCAGGTAAACCCTAAACCCAGAAGCTGAGAATTCCCAGGTAGGCAGAGCAACCTCCAAAGCCTAACCCCAGCGCCATGTTGACAGCTGCCCTGGGCATCTACCGCTTCACACGCCGGCTGAAAGGAAGGCTCGGTGGCCCTGGAAGACTGAACGCTGAGGGCCTCTTGGGGGTTTTAGGGTGTAGGGGAAACGTTCATTTTTAAGGGGTCCCTGTAAGAGTTTCCTTAGGTGCCTGCAGGTGAGGGTTTAGGGGTTCGGTTGTTTTGTGTTTAGGGTCTGAGGTTTGGGGGGTTTGCTTGGAGTTTATCAGGCTTAAGGGAGTAGGTTTTGGGGTTTTGAGCTCCCTAGGCTGCAATGGTGCGGTTGATTAGCAACGTGGTGACATGCAGGATTGACAGGGTGTATTGTGTGTTTCATCGCCATTTGCTCCAACCTATGGTGCCAGTCAGAGGTATTGTGAAAAAGGGAGCAAACCCTTCAAAAGGGCAAACATTTGAGGACAAGGAGAAAATCGCTCGAACGGGTCTTGACTAGAACAACCTGCTAAATATCGAAATAATTATGAGTAAAACCGCTCCGATGGCCCAATGGGCTTAGAGCATCTGCGAAAAGCACCAATCGCTCGAAAGGGACTAGAATGATTGAGAAAAAGGAACAAGCCGCTCGAAAGGGATTGGGGCATCTGAGACAAGAAAGCAGACCACCCGAAAGGAACTAGGGCATTTCAGGAGCAAAGAATTCAACAAAGAGTGGCAAACCGCTCGAAATGGACAGTGTCGTGAAGGCCTAGAGCAGAACAATAATCCTTGCTACGACCGCTATTGGAATCCTGATAGGAACCCTTATTAGGTAAACTATCGGGGTAATACAAGTGATAGTTTAGGTGCTATTATATCAGAGAGAACTCTCCAAGCCCTGAGTATTCCAAGAAGGTTCGCCGACTATGCAAAGAAGCGCGCGGCGGCCAAGAAAGCTCGGGAGGAAGCAGAGTTGAGGCACGGATGGGCCGGCAGCTTTAATGCGGTAGCTATCCTTTGCAAACTTGTGCTTCATTTAGCCGTGTTCTTGTCGGAGTTGTTTCTGGTCATATGTGTGCTTTTCATAGTCATGTTATCTCGCACTGGTCACTAGTGCATGCATGGGTGGACGGGTGGATGGATGGATGGATGGATCCTGCATGCATGCATGCATGCATGCCTGGTGGGTGGGTGGGTAGGTGGTCGGGTGGATGGGTGGACACAAGGATTCATGCATGGACTGAGGCAGGGATTCATGCATGGGTTCATGCATGGTTTCATGTGATTTACGTGTTCTCCTACCTTGTCTTATACCCAGTACAGATGTCCATGTATATGTTCACAGACACAGACTGACTGACTGACTGACTGACTGACTGACAGACACACGAGCACACACACTTCCACAGCCTCCTGACTTAAAGGCTTTGGGTTTCATCCGTACGCGTCGACCCAGACTGTAGAGGTTGCCGGTTCTGTTCTATGCTTCCTGCCACGGGTCCTCCTTGAGGTAAGATTCTATGCATCTATTTGTGCTGCATCTGCCTATCCAGCCGGGCCATCTAAAGAAACGTGCATGTGCCCAGCCATCTGCCTATCCAACTCTCCCTCCATCCATCTGTCTGTCTGCCTCGCTGTGTGTGCGTGTGTGTGTAGTTCTCCATGTGCCAGACAGCGTTTTGAATGAATCTTGTGTTGAGTCTTCAGACGGATCTATTGCAGCCGGGGTTTACGAAATGGCGTAGGGGTGCAAGGGGCGTGCTGATGTGAGGCGTCTGTCAAACCGCTTCCGGACCTCTAGAGCATAGCTCGAGAGCCAACGGTTTTCGTCGGCTCCCATGGGGCCTTGGCTTCCCTGCTGCGTTCGCCGATGGGCTTTATGACTCTGCGCCCCCCCAGGATGTAGACTGGGTTTATGCAGGGCTGGAGGTCCGGGAGCTCCTTTCGAAATCATCATCTCGCAAGACTCGGCCGGCCTGTGTTGGATCCGGAGATCAGGGCTTCAGCTTCAGGTGTGGAGTCGCCATCCGCCGAAAACCCTGAACTCGAAGCATTTTGATCCAAATCGCAAGAACCGTGGAAGGCGTATGGAAAGTGCTTTCGGCCTCGACTTTGGTGAGTATGACGAGGAGGCACTCCAAACGATCCTCATATCGCGAGCTGCAAAGAGCAGCGTGAAGCATTTAGAGGAAGTAAGACAAGGACTTGCAATCGGCACTAGCAAGACCATGACGAAACAGCAGCACCAGGCTATAGACACGGAAGCCAACCAAGACATTTGGGACTTTCCGAAAATCAGGGGTACCTTATTTTGGGGTCCTTATAATAAGGATCCTACTATTTAGGGTACTATATTAGGGTGCCCTATTTTCCGGAAACCCCCCTTTACAACATCATCGACGCAACATTTTGGTCATCAGCCATCTTCACTAGGACAGCAAGTGCCATGGTCCAGTTTTCTATCCTTGTTGTGTCTGAAGTTCTTGAAGTGTTGTGTTCATACATCTCAAGGGCGCGCAGCTTGCGATAAATGCTGTTCAGGCTTGTGCATTTCAGGGGTGCAGGGTTTAGGCTTTAGGATCTTCAGCTGGATCATGTGATTTCGTGTTGGTCTGGTCGAGTTCAACATGTTTGTCGACGGGCCCTCAAAATCTTTGGCTTTCGTGCCTTCCGAATCCTGGAAGTGAGACCAGCTTAGGAGGGCGGAGCTTCGACCGTCAGGGTTCCCTCGAGTACGTTCTGGTTCGTGTCGCAGGGTTTAGCTTGGGCGTCACTCTGGGATATACTGCTGCCACTAGCACGACCACGACCACTAACGACTACTACTCCTTGCAGCGCGGCTGTGGCTTCCATGAGGGTTTTAAAATGGGTGCAGGTTCAACGTAGACCCTTGCTTACTCCTTTCTTTCACAGTTTGAGTAGTGGGCTCTAAATGCGAGGTCTACATAGCCATAATCATCAACCAGCAACTAAAGCATTCCATGACGCAATAACTCTGATTAGCTTGACTCGCTTCTATGCTGACCACCGGGACTGGTATTAGCAATGATACCTCGAGTACATCGCCGGTCCAAGTCTGGGAGATGGCCTTCTTGGTTTCAGAGGTTTCGACTTAGAGTTACGGGCTCAGAGTTCATGGGCTAGAGTTGAGGGATGCTGAAAGTTCAGGGCTTAAGGTGTAGGGTTTCAGGTATTTGTATGGTTGCATAATATCTCCTGTTGCAGATATCTACTGGCAGGTCTTGCTGCGACGTGTCTTCAGGGCAAAGGTCTTCAAAGTATGTCTACTATAGAGGCCTTAATAATTAGAATAGGGTTTTGGGGCCCATTATACTATAAGGAGAATAAGAAACCCCCAAAACCCTATTCTAATTATAAGACCCCTACCATTACGCCAGCAGAAAAAGCCACGCCTTTTAGGAGGCTGAGGAGGAGGAAGTCACCGACGACGAGGAGATTGCCACCAGACGGCAATGGCATGTAATTTATGAAGCAGGGGTTTAGGGTTTAGGGAGGAGCAAGGAAGGAAGTTTTCAAGCTTCATCATGGCATCTTGCTCCGTCGCATGTAACTGTCACAGCCATAGCATGATATTCATCGAAGCGACAACGTTCGTGGGAAGGGCATGTTCACAGTTTCTGCAGCAGCCTTACGCACAGGAGTCACTAATGCTGTCCTCAACTTGTTGAAGAATACTCTGAAGGCGAGCTCCGAGTCTAAGACGAAAGAGAGTGCCAGCCACTCAGGTTGACGAGTCTGACGAGGAGGCAGCTTTGGGATGGCATTTGCGTATAGGTGGTTCAGCCTGTGTCCTCATGAATTTGAAGCTACTGCTCCTGTATCACCCTTCGAGCCTTAGATGATTACAGTGCTTCATGCCAGGAGATCCCATTCTAGCGGTTGCAAGGCTTCAGGCAAATCTATGAGTCGTTTGAAGCTTCGATGAGGGTTTCCTTAGATGCAGAAGGCTGGCCGAACTATACGATCATGCAGAACCCTGAACCCCCAAAATCTGCAAACCTCGGTCTTCCATTTGTGTGGTATGCCTGGTTCCCTACACACTTCCTCCTGCTAGGAATTCCGGACGCGAATAAGCTGAGGGACGAGAGTGTGCAAAAGAACGTCTGCAAACCAACAAGACCCTGAACCTCCCCGAAGCCATAAACGACCTAGAGCCCTGACTTGTTGCAGTCCTGCATCAGCTGAGCCAGCAGAGTGATTCACGGAGTTCAATACGGGGTTTGGGGAATCAGCAATAATTCCCCCTTAAGTTCTACCATCCCCCAATGCCCTAATCCAACCACTAATAGACTAAGCTCCCTATAGTGCAGGGTGCGGTTTAGGGCTAAGGCATCTTAGCCCCAAACACTCACGCCAAGGCTCTAAGCTCTGTTTCACCAGGGCCTTTATGCTTGGAATCGGTGTTGGGGTGATATAGGAGCCTTAAATATAACCTATACTCTTTTGGGGCTTCCTTACAATAAGCAAAGGAAAAGCCACACCAAAACGATATTCTAATTATATTGTATTATTAGGGCTTCATAGGGACGTTTAAGGCATACTGTCAACCCTCAACCGCTACGAGGGGCTTTAGGAACTGTGATCTTCTGAACCCTGGCCTGGGTGCAGTGCAATGATTTGCGGATCAGACTCCTTCAGGTAAGTGTAACCCGAAACCCTAAACCCCTAAAAACCAAAAACCCTCAACCCTAAACCCCTTGTTCATGATTTTAGCTTTAAGTGATGCCGCTTCATGTTTGGGGTCGCAAGGTTTGGAGTTGTAGGTTGTTGGAATCAGGGTTTCGGCGGTGAGGATTTAGTGGCTCGACTCTTCCTGCATACGCGTAGGTAGGTAGATACGTCGATAGAGCACATCAAAGGATACACCCCATGCCCCCCAAGCCTGAAAGAGAAAGGCTAAATGGATACATCGTTTACTCCCGTAAGCCGCAGAGGATCGGCGTTTGTTCGGCGACCTTGAGATGAATGATGAAGGCTTGGACTTGGGCGTGTTAGCGCTTTGGGGGATGTTCAGGTCTGCGGTTTAGGCATCTGGATTCTAGGGTTGATGATATAAATCCTGCATGACCCATAATAAGGATCAGCGCTTTGACTGAGGCTTAAGATTGAGTGGTTGAGGGATGGTGTTGCATCGTTGTGTTTTGAAGCTTGTCAGTTACTGGTCGCTGTTTTATGCAAACAGAAATATATGTTCTTGGTGCTAGAGGCGTTTTTGTGGTCGTAGTGTGGTGTTTGAGGGGGAGTCTTCTGGGTTCGAGGCTTTGCCTGTAAACCCATACCTCTGGCTGCGGTTTTTAGCTGCCTTCAACTGCCAGGAATGAGCGACGAGCCACTGGGCTGCAAGGGGGACATGTCCTTGGACCGCCAAGCCCTCGAATTAAATGCTAGGTCCGATTAACTTCAAAGCTAACGACCGCATGTCGAAACCCCACGACATCCCAGGACGCTGCTTCCTAACCTAACTGCTGGCTGAAGCTGTTGCTCCTCAGACTCTGCCCTCCCTTAGCACTTATAGGGTTTGGGCTCATGGCAGGGTCCTACAAGGATTTAGAACTTTTGGTAAAGGCCCTGGCTCTTCATCAACTGCCAATTACATCTCTAACCTCTTGTCCCTGGCCTTGTATGTGGCGGACGCAACCATCGGCTGACATTTGGCTGCTCTTGGGAAGGTTTGCTTGACTGCTGCTTGCTGCTTTGCCCGGGCATCCGAAGGGTCAGTCAGATGACCAGATTCATGTTTTCAAGCAGTTACAGGCATAGTGCGCGGAGGATGTCCCGTGCACATTGAAGGCTCCGTCCCAGCCTCAAGCCTGAACACCACTCGTCCGATTTCTCCTGCTTGACTGCTTGTGGTAGAGGCATCGAACATGTCTCCTGAAGCTTGCAGTGAGGACGTAGGGCAAGTTCGTATGGGATATAGGCAGCTGCTCAGGCCGGATTGGGGGCGGTCAACCCTGCACGGTAAACCCTATAAAGCTGAAGCTTGAGTTCGAAGTAGCTTCCAGCTGCATCTCAGGCCGGAAGTGACTTGGTTGCAGGCTTGGGATTGAAACTTTTCCACGCAGAGGATTCCTGCAGGCAAGGAGCTTTCTTGTAAAGATGTCAGGCAGTGTCGTGCAGACTTGCAAAATGTTGCTTAATGACCTCCGCTTCCCTTGAGATGATGTTGTCCGTGCATGCTATCTCGAAGAGTGTTGGCGGAGCAGTATTGGAGCTAGACAGACAGAATAACAGGGCACTTCCAGTCTGGCTTGTAGCTCTCAGCCCAAAGGAAAGCCTAGCTCAGTTCCATCAAGCGTTTTGGATTCTTTTGGCTTTGGGTCTGGGTTTTTGGGGGCCCGGAGCATGGGTTTAATGCCTCGGTTCGGCCGCACGGCACTGCAAGGAAAGGGACCCACACCGGTTTGGTTCGTGATAGCATCGGATCCCAAATGTAGGTCATGCCGAGGTACGTATGGAAGTTCATAGCCTTCAGTGTTTTCGATTAGGGTTGCTGAAGGCAAAGGCTTCAGTCCATCTGCCACACAGCAACGTGCTACAGAGCTGAACCATATGAAAAATCCCGGAAGTCCCTAGATCGTAACTTTCCCTGAAGAAGCCCCCTAAGGCCTAAAGCCGCCTCGGATTGGGATCTCGGGTGGACCTTAAAACCTCACGGTTTGCACCTTTTCCCAGGCCTGGGGCTGAAGTCATGGAGTTCTTTCATGACAGGAATGTGGCAGAAGCCAAGGCTCCCCCCAAGCGAGGAGCACTGACCCAGGCAGATTCTAGATGTGCCAAGTTAACTCCTGTCATATCGGGCTCTGGCGGATTGGTGACTATCTGCTTAGTGTCCATACCCGAAACATAAAGAACCTATGCCAATCATTAGCAGGGAATCCTTATGAGCATTGAACACGCCGATTGCTCCCAGAAGCACCGATTATGGGATCCATGAGGTTGTGAGCCTTAAGGGGGCTATGTAACCCAATAATCCCGCCATTCTCCTTCCCCCCATAGAACCCCCTCCCTTAAGGATCTCATAACCCTAAACCTAAACCCTAAACCCCTAAACCCTAAAACCAAATAAAGGATCTCAGAAACTGAGGTTCAGCCGGATGCGAACCAGCTCACGGAGTGGGATGAGGTCCTTGACGACTCGGAGATCGAGGTGTCGACGTATCAAATTCGGGGGGTTAGGGGTTTGGGGTTTTAAGGGTTCAGCGTTTAAAGTTTAGGGTTTTAAGGTTAGGCTCGGGATTTTTTCAGCTGGCTGGGGGAGTTTGGCGTCCAAGGCAACAAGGTAAAGTTCAGGGATATTGCAAACCCTGCTTCATATCAGTGTGTGGAGCCTGGACTGTGGGTGCGAGTGCCGCCCTTCTTTCACTGATGGTTCTCTGTCGCTTGTCGCTGTTTTTTGTGAGGACTCAGCTGCTAGCTGCTAGCTCCTTCTGATTAAGGTCGAGGCCTAAATAATTGCCAATCAATACTGTTTTGGGGGTTCCTTACATTAAAAATGGGCCCCAAAAACCCTATTCTAATTACTAAGGCCCCTATGTTATGTGCTCATTGGGGTAGTGGTCATCACTCCTGAGGCAGCACAGACTTCCCCAGACCAGCAAATCCTAACTCCTGAGGTTCCCTGTCGACCATGCTCATCACACGGTTTAGGGTTTGAGGGTTTAGGGGTTTAGGGTAGGGGTTTGGGGTTTAGGGGTTTAGGGGTTTAGGGTTTAGGGTTTCAGGTTTGGTTTGTGAGCCCTTGGCCATTGGCTACATGAAGCTTACTCAACTGCATCCTCGATCTGCAGTGGCGACACCTCACAGCACCGTTGGACTTCAACCTGCATGAGTTGGGACTTTCCGAAAATTAGGGTACCTCATTTTGGGGTCATGACAAGGATCCTACAATTAAGGGTACTATATTAGGGTCCCCTGTTCTCGGAGACCCCCAGTTGCACTTGAACCTTGTAAAACGGCAATCGAAGTACTCTGGTTTAGAGTTCCCAGACAGTGTGGTGCTCACTCTGGGGTTTTACTGTAAAGAGAATTGGTCAGTGTAGACTACATTGGCTGCCGTCTGGCCTCGAAATCGCTGAATCCCGCCAGTATTCGCGGGAAGCGTTTTGGCTGTCCATCCCGCCAGTAAATTGTTTGAAGCGCCGTCATTAGATAATTAGGGAAGCATGGCACGCGGGAATAATTGATGAACAGTAGTGGTCCAGATAATTAATCCTCACACAACTTTTGTACTGCATGTTCTTTTGCGATCCTCTGCGTAGGATTGCTTTGCACACTGTTAATAGCCGTCTCCGCAGGCACTCAACCGTCTCGTCTACGAGCTTCAGCCGAAACTCGCTCCTCCAGAAGAGATGTCCGTCCAGGCGCGGTCCTGAACCGAACAGTGTGTATCTTGCAGCCTGAAACCTCATCCTGAGAAGCGCTGTCCTTGACTCCGAAGATTTCTGGGTTCTTGTTAGGGGATGTAATTGAAGTTACCATAATAAAGAACCCGTATTATTTACTATAGATCACCATTATGGTAACTCAAATAAAATCCCCTACCAAGAACCCAGATTAAAGGGAGTCCTGGCTTCGGACTTTGGGCTGTCACAGACTACGTGGGCCGGAACCATGAAGTAATAACCATCCCTTTGCAGTCCCTGTACAATTATATTATATGAGCACTCTTCGAAGAGACTCCCACCTTTACACCTCAATAACATAAGATAAGATAATATAATCGAATATATCTTAAAAAGATACGACAGAAGGACCATGCTTATGATTTGAGCTTGACATTTCATTGCCTTTTTGCGGCAGAGTCAGAGCTTACGGGCATCAGGGAGTCAGCCAAAGGGCAGACTGAAGACCCCAAGTAGACGCCAAGCTCGACGTATCTCAGCCGCTGCTGCCAGCCAGGATGCACGGTTGCGGCGCGATCTTGTGGGTGGCCCCAGCCAGACTTGGCAATGAGGTGTCAGTGGCGAAAGAATCGACGGGTGGTTCGATGGATCCCTCGTGTGTGATAGCTGTATTATCTGGTGATTCATTACTTAGACTTCGTCATATCATTCCTTCGAGCTCTCCGCACGTGTACACACAGTGCCAATTGCTAACTAGCAACTATTAAATATTCCTGGCCAACAACTCATTAGTATTTACCAATTACTGAGTTCTAATTCTTTACCAGCTACAAGTTACAAATCGCTTCTTACCTTGTGACCATGCTGGCATGTACGATCGCTATGGCTGTTGCCTTTAAGAGCACGAGAACTAGTGTTACTGCTATTCCTATGACTCTTACGATGACCACTACCATGGCCACTATCAACGTTGTTGTTACTATGATGGTTAACATGGCTGTGACTATGACTATGAAAACAACCTTGACGAGGACTTGTGATTGCCATGTTTATTGCTATTGCTGCTATACTATTTCGCTTGCTACTGACCAGTATTGCTGTTAGTTGATTGTTATTAACGCCGCTGTCTACTTGTATAGAGTGGGATCCTCAACTCAAGCAAGAAACCTCTCCAAGGTGCGGCGGAAGCCGCTGCTGAAGTACAACGCGGTGCTTTTCTTCGGAGAGGCTTCTGGGGCCAACCTCCAAGCCCGAAACTAACAGCTGAACTCCCGTTTTAGGGGTTTTAATAAGGGGCGCCTGCTTTAAAAAGGCTCCAGTTATGTTGATGTCCCTCATTTGCTGAAACTCCCTAAACCTTGAAACCGTACAAGCCGAAGCCAAAAAAAACCTTCATAAGGCCGACGCCCACAAGCATGCTCGACCTTGAACGGCTTAACGCTGGTAGCTCTCATCCCTCCCACATACGCTTGTAATCTTAGCGGGGTATACGCTAACTTCTGATTCTGAGTGATGCGTTGGGTGGACTCTCCCCTCATTTTCACGGAGGTGGTGGTGGTGGCAGGGATGGCGCGGTTCAGGACATTCGGCGGGCCATGTTGCGGAGTTTGGCAAGGCCGAGTTTGCAGAAAGCTCCTGAATGGCTCCTGTCCCTCACTCGGCTTTGCCGGGTGGTCGGGCAGTCAACGAGACCATGGCGGATGACCAGCGCGCTGTACACCGGACACTATTGGCACGGCGTGCCATGTCCGTGCGCTGAGCTCTGCAGATGGTCGGTGAGATGCAATACGATGTTATCAAACCTCGAATGGTTAACTTGACAAGCCTGCTTCAACTTGTTTCCACAACATTCGAGTGTTGTCAAGCGGAATGAGATCTCACGGCGGCCCCTTTTCGAGCCCCAGGAGCACCACTTTAGACCCAAACTTGTTGGCAACACGGAGCCCCGGTAAAAAGGACTTTACACCCTAGTTTCTAATAAGCGCTAAACCCAACGGGACACTTTAACCTTTACATTCAAGGACCCCGCTTCCGCATCAAGTCCCCACCTCCGAAGCTGCTCAGAGCGCTCGAAGCGCTCGCGGATGCAGTGTCGCCGGTGCTGAGCCCTCGGAAATCTCCAGGTGTCGGGATTTCAGCTTTGAGGCTTCGGGATAAATAATGTAAGCCTAGCAGAACTGGTGGTGGTGGTGGTGGTGGTGGTGGTGGCGGCGGCGGCGGCGGTCGTGGTCGTGGTCGTGGTCGTGGTCGTGGTCGTGGTCGTGGTCGTGGTCGTGGTCGTGGTGGTGGTGGTCGTGGTGGTGGTGGTGGTGGTCGTGGTGGTGGTGGTGGGGGCGGCGGTGGCGGTGGCGGTGGCGGTGGCGGTGGCGGTGGCGGTGGCGGTGGCGGTGGCCGTGGTA